GAGCCAAAAAGTACACTGTGCCAGGCACTATATCCCTGGGGATTCAGTGGTGAGAAAAGAGGTGAATTCCCACTCTCATGAAGCTCACGTTGGAGTCCAGAAGACAAATGGTTAGCAAATAAACATATAAAATGGTCATTTCAAATAGTAACAAATGTCCTGGAGGAAGGCACAGCAGACTACTATGCTGGAGGCAATGAAGAGAGGGGCACAATCACATAGCGGGTCAGAGAGGGCCACTCCGAGGAGGTGACATTTGGATGAAAGGAAGGAAGTGGCCTTGCAAAGAACTGCAGGAACAGCATGCCAGGTGGAGGGAACAGAAGGGCAAAGGCTCTGAGCAAAGGCCCTGTTCCATGTGAGGGACAGTGAGGAAGCCATGTGGCTCGAGCAGAGTAAGGGATGGAGAGGAAAATAGCAGATGGGGTCTAGAGTGGGAGCAGAAGCCAGGTCCGGCAGAGCCTTTTAGTTCTGGTAATCGGTTAGGACTTCCTCTTAATCCAGAGGAGGCGAGATTACCAGGGATGTTTCTTTAAGATGCATATTTCCTGGCTTCACCCCTTTGAGACTTGTATTTATGGCTGGGATGGGACTGAGATGTCTGTATTTTTACCAGCTTCTTGGGAGCCTCTGAAGGTGTGCGAGGTTTTAGAAACCTGGGACTACATGGTTCTCTGAGTCTCTTTCAGTTTTAAGAAAGCAGAAAAGCAACGTGTCAGAACATCTTTAAAAAGGATCTTAAAAGTTCTATGATATTATGGAGTTTTCCTTTCTTCCATCCCTCACAACTCCCTATCTGCCAGGTAGAAGAATTAATTCTGGTTTTGTTTGTTTTTTGTTTGTTTTATTGCAAGATCCCAGAATGGGTACTTTCTGCAAGGAAGGTGCTACAGAAATGCTATAGAAAATAAGAACTAGGGGCACCTGGGTGGCTCAGTCAGTTAAGCGTCTGCCTTCGGCTCAGGTCATGATCCCAGGGTCCCGGGCTCAAGCCCCACATTGGGCCCCCTGCTCAGCGGAGAGCCTGTTTCTCCCTCTCCCTCTGCCTCTTGGCCTACTTGTGCTCTCTGTCTCTCAAATAAATAAATAAAATCTTAAAAAAAAAAAAAAAAAAAGGAAAGAAAGAAAGTGAGGACCATCCACCATGTCAGGGAGTGTCAGATTATAAATGCAGCAACTCCATCGTACCTTTCCTCATCAAACCATCATCGGGATTTGCCCATCCCTGACGCCAGCAGGGATGGGGGAGGCGTCATCCTCACCCCAAGCCCCGTCCCCCAGTGCCTGGCAGGAGCATTCCCCATCTGTCCCTGCACTGCAGATAACCCGTGCCTCCACCCCCCCCCCCCCCCCCTTAGCCGAAGTCACTGAGACCTTCCACACAATGCCAGCACTTACACTCATCATGGATTAATTCGCTGCCAAATTGCTCACATCAGTTTGTTGTTTTGTTTTGGTTTTTTTTTTGGTTTTTTGTTTTTTTCCTATCTGGGGCTTGTCTCTGATAACAGATTTGTGTAATGGTTTCCTATAATGCCCCAGAGTCCAAAATTCCGTTCTTGTGTGCGTCCAGCTCAAGGCCCTCCTGGGCAATACACTCATATGTTGATAAGTTCACTGATCACTTTTCTAAGAGAAATATGGGGTAGAGTAGAAAATGCATTGCCTGAGCTGTCTGAGTTGGCCGAGGCAGTGGCTGGTTTAGCTCCACCAACTGTAACATGAAGGGATTCACTCAGGCCATCTCAAAAGCCCTTTCTAACTTTTTGAAACAAATACCTGTTCTCTTTAGCCAATGCATGTGCTCTTTCATTTATTCACTGAGCAAATGTTGAGTGTTTACCACGTGGTGGGTCCTGGGGCGGTGAGACACAGTCCCACTCCCAGGGAGCTCAGAGTCCAGTGTGAGAGAAGACAATCAGACATCCATAGCACCTATTTGGAGCTGTAGTCATAGTAGCAAAGGGACTCACATCCTAGAACAGGGCTTAGATCGCCCCAGAAATCTGCTCCCAACATCAGCATCTCCACCTCATCAGTGGGGACTCTGTCCTGCCGGTTGCTCGGGCTCAAAACCCTGGAATCATCCTTGACCCCTCCCTTTCCCTTCTTCTCTCCCATCCCGTGTTTGACAAGCAGCAAATGATGCAAGTTCTGCTTTCAAATCTCAGAACCTGACCACATCTCATCACCTTCATCCCTGATCCACTGATCAGAGCCTGGACAGTTGCCTTAGTCTCCCCGTCTCTGTTGCTCCTCCCTCTGTCCAGTGTCTTCAGCAACTGGTGAGCGATCCTTGTAAAATTAAGCCAGACCAGGTCACTCCCCTGTTCAAAAGGCATTCCGTCTCAGCCGCAGAGTCTCATGACCTGCAAGACCCGATTTCTGGTCTCCCCTCTGTTCGCTCTAGCCCTGCTTGCCATTCTTTACATGTATATAAAGAACCTGCCATTCCTTCTGTCTCGAGTGCATTTCCCACTTCCCGCAGATGACCTGTGTAGAACTTGTCTGTTACTGGGCCACAAATTATCCCGCCACACCTTTTTGGCTTAGAACAGCAACAAACAACATCACACGGTTTCTGCGAGTCAAGAATTTGGCTGGGCAACTCCCGCTGACCATCTCACATGGGACTGCAGTCCGATGTCGGCCAGGGCCGCAGTCTCATCTGAGGCTTGACTGGGGCTCGAGGATCCACTTCCAAGGTGGCGTGCCCACGTGGCTGGTGGGTGCTTGGCTTTTGGCAGGAAGCCTCAGCTGTTCTTCACAAGGGCTGTTCCACAGGGCTGCCTGAGTGTCCTCACACCATGCCGGCAGCTTCCCTCAAGTGATCAATCCAAAGGGAGCGAGGCAGAAGCTGCCTCTGTGACCTAGTCTTGGAAATCATGCGTTATCGCTTCTACTACCTTCTGGTCATTAAAAGTGAATCACTAAGCCCAGCCAGTATTCAAGGGGAGGGAAATTGGGTTTCATCTTTTGATGGCAGAGCTGTCAAAGAATCTGTGAACACATTTTAAAACCACCACAAACTGCAAGGTTAGTCCCTAATCCTTTAAGCCTCCATCCTGTGACATCCTCAGAGTGGCCTGCCTGATACCCTGAACAAAAGAACAGTCACCCCCTCCCATTCCACGGGCTTATTCTCTCCATAATTTATTACCATCCAATAAGTCATATTAGTACTTGCATATATGCTTATACCTGCTTCCTCATCTAGAATGTAAACTCCATTATCACAGAGGACATCTCCCTCTTATTTGCTGCAGCCCCACACTTAGAACTGGCCTGGAACACAAGTTAGGCCAGGTCAGGTCAAGCATGGGGAGAGGCAAGCCTTGCTGGGGGCTGGGCGGCCATGGCAAGTTCGGAGTCATTTGAGGAGAGTCAGGACAGCATTCCACATGAGTAGACTGGAGGCATGGGAACGGACCCCTCATAGTAGGAGAAGCAGGGCGGGAGGTGTAGGGAACCCGGGAGGTCTGGAAGCCCAGAGGTGGCAGTGAGGAGGGCTGGACAGCCCTGACAAGACTCTCCATCCCTCCTGGGCTTGCAGCCTCTCTCAGCTCTGCTTCTAAAGATGCACTGATAAGCAGCTGACAGAGATGGATTTGTTTGGCTGCCCTTCCTTCAATATTGACTGGATTTGGCCTGCTCTCTGGGCAGCCCTAAGGAGCAGGGGGCTTATCAGCTGCATTCACCCTGAGTCATAAAACCAATCTGGGTTCACTACAGGTGCTTGGTGCAGGAGAAATACTAATGTCTTTGATCAGTGCTTGATCTGGACCCTGTGGGCAGGGTGAGGAGGGAGGGGAGTTTGCTGGATGGTGCCAAATCCACCTGTGCCTCTCCAACTCCTGATGACTCTTGGTTGGGGGCCAGGAGGTGTGAGTGACGGTGTTTTTAAAGACTGAGTACCTAGGCGACTTCCTTCCCCTTTCTGGGACTCAACGAAGGAGGTGGGACTCAGGTAATTTCCTAGAGTTGCCTGGGGCTCTTCTCAGAGGCAGAGGAGGGAACCTCAGGCCTTCACGGGGATTGCATCCCAACTAGGTGGCCTTCCACCTGCTAGGGACACCAGAGTGGAGGTTTGGTTCACAAGGAAGTAAAGGGAAATGGAACGGCCTTTCTGTTTGCTTTATGGTATCTCATTTTATTTTCATAACAACTCAACAATATAAGGACTAATGTTATTCCCTATCTTAATCAGTGAGGATGCAAGACAGAGAAACTGAGTCCTCTATCTACTAAACGGGGAACAGAGTTTGAATCCAGGGATATCCATTCCATACAGAGATAAGGCAGGGAAATGGGACAGAACAGACAAAGGGGAATTGGAACCAATCCTATCATGCTTTGGCCTCCACTTATGTTTTGAGCAAGGAAGTGAAACACTGGTTTCCAGACCCTTCCTGTGGTTCAGTCAGGGTAGGCCCAGCAATGCCGCAGTAACAAGTAAGCCCCTAAATTTCAGCGGCTTAACCCAACTAAGGTTTATTTCTAACATACAAAGTCTGATGCGGCTCAGGCATCTCTCCTCCACCAAGTAGCTTCACCTTTCAGGGTATGTGGCCTCCAACATCACTGCAATAGAGGGAGAGAGAGCTGGGGAAGGTACACAGACCTTATTACCTCAAGCCAGAAGTGACACATGTCATGCCCACCCAGAGACCAGTGGTCAAGATAATCTTTCATTGTCCCAACCTAACTGCAAGGAAAGTTGGGAAATATCAGGAGGTGTGTGAATGTTTGATTAACGTTAAGAATCTGTCCTATCCTGGGGCACCTGGGTGACTCAGTCGGTTCAGCATCCAACTCTTGATTTGAGCTCAGGTCGTGATCTCAGGGTTGTGAGGTGGAGCCCTGAGCTATAAGATTCTCTTTCTCCCTCTCCTGCCCCTCCCCACCCCCACTCAGGTGCACACTCTCTCTCTCCCTTAAAAAAAAAAAAAAGAATCTCTCATATCCTAACAGTTTCTGTCTCCTTATTTGTTCCCCTGTAGGACAGAACCCCAGAGCAGCCCTCTGGTTCCAGCTCAGGATGGACCCTCGGAGAAGCTGAACCAGCATCTGGCCACTGAGGCCTTGGGCACCAACAGCTGGGAGAGAGACAAGGCCTGCCGGGAGCTCAGTCCTGCCAGAGCACGAAGGTGAGACACTGCCCCCACCCTCTCTTTTGGTCCAGTGAGGAAGTTCAAGTTGAGGATGCAGAAATGAAGTTTGTCTTCCTGGCCACTCTTCCCACGCACTTCTCTTTTGCAAGTTCCTCTTTCAGACCCTTAAATCCAATCAAAAGTCAGCAAATTTTTTTCTATAGAGTACAGACAGCTTTTAGGTGTGAGGGCCAGATGGTCTCTGCCATGCTACTCAATCCTGCCATTGTAGCACCAAAATAGCCACAGTCCATATGTGAACAAATGGGCATAGATGTGTTTCAATAAAGCTTTATTTATAAAAATAGGAGACAGGCTGGATTCGGCCCAGGGGCTACAATTTGTTGCCCCTGTCTTAAATGATAGAGCTAGTTCCTGTCCATTTTTATGACTCTATAAGCCACTGATTTCCAAGTCATGACTTCAGCCTACATCTGTCTCCTGAGAGTCGGATCTTTGCATTCATTCCTTAAATTCAGATATTCAACCAGGATTGCTCAACAGATATTCAGCCAGGCTTGCTTGAGCACCTGCTAGTGACAGGCACTGTGTTGGTATCTGAAGACACAACATTTTACTGAGGCTCAGAGAGATAACATGACTTGCCCAAAATATGGCAGCCAGTGAGTGGCAGAGTGAAGTTTTTTGAACTATGGTCTCTGATCTTAAATCCTAGATGAACACCTACCCATTTTACTTTGATGCTAGTGAAGAAACCAGTCTATCCCCTAACTTCTATTTTTAAATTTTGCACTGTGCACATATAAAGCCTAGTCTGTCTTTGGCCTCTGGAGAATCGATTTTGTTAACAACACCATCTTTATAATCTGGCTTCACCAGCTGGTTGAAAGCTTTGTTCCTACTCCTCAAACTAACTCACCACTCTCTCGCTGCCCTGGGCTTGCACCTACCCCCTCAGTGACAGGTGGGAAATGAATTTAGTGTCCTTGCCAGCAGTGTGCCCCAGATACAATCCCTGGCACTTCCTGTTGAATCAGAGAGTGTCAAAGCCATTTTACAGATGTGGAAACTGAGGGCAGTACATGGTAGGATCAAGATTAACCTGAGGACCCCTGATCTCCTCATGTCCTGGAGTTCTTGGTTTCCTAGGGCAGAGGTTCTAAACCCATTTGAGAATTACATGGAAGCTAGAAGTGCTGTCCCCAGGGAAAGTGTATATGCTCCAGGAATATGCCCCAAATTCCAACTACCACTTGAGGAGTCCTAGACCTCTGAGGCCCATGAACAGGGCTGTCTAGTTAAGAACCTGAATTCTGAAGAAGACCTACTCTCTGACATGATAAAAACACCATAATGGTGATAATGTTAAAAAGTGATCATAAAAGTCACTTGACATATAATCAGTGAATAAATGGTAGCTGTGTTACTATGCATAATTACAATACTAGAAAGGACATTTATGAGAGCTTGCTCTGTGCCAGACCCAGGGCACGTTGCATGAGTGAGGTCCTCATTTCTTGTGACTAAACTTAAGACACAGGTATCATGTTTTATTCCCATCTTCCAAACGATGAAAATGATACT